AAGGAGATGGTGAGGATGAGGAATGTAAGGCGTAATCTCTTTGGCCTTCAACTCATTGCTTTGTCTGTTACTTTCTTCTTCTCGTCTGATACTTTCTTCTTCTTCTTCTCCAAAACAGAAGCAGGGAAGCCGAAGCAAGAAGCGGAAAAGCCAAGCCATAACTTGCAGTGATAACTAACTCATCCTCAATTTAGAAAGGTGATATATTTAAAACCGTTTCGTCTTCAAAGTGAATATAATTGGATCTCTCTGCTTCTTAAATGCTGCCGAGCGAAGAACAGTACAGTCGTGAAAAGTAGAGTTCGCCTGGAATAATAATTTGTTTATAAACAAATTCAAATTACGGTACAAGTTGGGCTGGCTCAATCTGAAACCAGCCCGTGAATTTCGGCTGGGCTTTTTAGCAACTGAATTCGCGTTGGACTCGGGCTGAAAATTTCCAGGTCGAGCCTTATTTTGGGTTGAGTTCAGTTTGGGCTCCAGCCCAACCCGAAACCAGTAATAAATATTATACAATTTTTGTAATTTTTTAAAAAGTATATATTAAATCTGATGCCTTTATTTATTTATCTTTGATCATATGTTAATATTATTATTTCCAGTACTAAATGCTTTTTATTTTTATTTTTAATCAAGGAAGTTATATATAGTAATATATATTGTTATATATCTATATATGTCTATATTATTATTAAAAGGATAAAGGGTTTTAGTACAATATAGACAAATCTAATTAAAGAAGGAAAGATATATAAAAAAGGAAATTATACAAAATTATTTTTATATTTAGTTTTTTTTATAATTGTCTAAGTTACCCGAATTTTTTTTTTTTTTTCTAATTTACCAATAAATTCACTTATATATTTACTTTGTTAATTCAATTGCTTTTTTGCTCTTTACACTAATTACCTTAATTTAAATAAGTAATTGTTTTTTAATTTTTTAATTGTCTAAGTTACCAATTAGTTTTATTGCTTATTTTTTAATTGTTTAATTGTCTAAGTTACCCGAAAAAAAAATGTCTAAGTTACCAATTAATTCACTTATATGTTTCCTTTTATATAATTAAATATTATATATTAAAATGTTTCCTTTTCTAATTAGATTTTTTTTTTTTCTAATTAGGTAATCTGTGATAGAGTTTTATAGAACTTTAAGATTTAAAAATATATTAAACTGTTATATATTTTTATATATTTCATTTATATATTTATATTTAGTTTTTTTTTATAATTGTCTAAGTTACCCAAAAAATAAATTTGTCTAATTTACAAATAAATTCACTTATATGTTTCCTTTGTGAATTCGATTGCTTTTTAATAATAGTAGGTAATTGCTCTTTACATTATTTACCTTAATTTAAGTAGGTAATTGCTTTTTTTTAATTTTTTAATTGACTAAGTCACTAATTAGTTTTATTGTTTATTTTTTGATTGTTTAATTGTCTAAGTTATCGGAATATATATATATATATATATATATATATATATATATATATATTTGTCTAAGTTACTAATAAATTCACTTATATGTTTCCTTTGTAAATACAATTACTTTTTAATAATAATAGGTAATTACTCTTTATATTATTTACCTTTTGTTTACCTGATAAATTTAATCAATTCCTTTTACAATTCAATTGCTATTTTATTGTTTTGATATGCCATATATATAAGTTATTTCTTCCTTCTCTCCACTAATCGACATCTGAATTATTATTATTATTATTATTATTTTTCTCTAAGTTACTAATTAGATATATTGCTTATTTTTATAATTGCTCTTTACATTATTTTTATAAATAATTAATTCACTTATATGTTTCTTTTGTGAATGCAATTGCTTTTTAATAATAAATTTACCTTTTGTTTACCTACTAAATTTAACTAATATATTTTTATATAGAATACTATGTACAGGAAAAAAATTGAAAAAAAAAAAATTTACGCTAAAAAAAACACTATAATATGAAAAAAAAAAAAAAAAAAAAAAAACCCTACATATATATATATATTCATCACGTGCATTACACATGCCTTTTCTTAATATATATAGATACGTATTGGGTTCGTATGTAACATTATTGAGTTATGTTTTGGCTCTTTTGTGGTTGTGTTTTTTAATTGTTAATCTCAATAAAAATTTGAAATATTGATGCAAGTTTAAATTTATACGGTAATAGGTTAATTGATTCAAAAAGTGGTTTTTTTTTTTTTTTTTTTTTTTTTTTTTTTTTTTTTTTTTTTTCATGGTATTTGGTTAGAAAAATAACTATTCTAAGTTTTGTGCTATTTTCCAAGTTAATTTTTTTATTTTTTTGGGATCAATTTTGTTACTAGTTTAACATATTTATTTTTGTGAACCAGATATATATAGTTGAGAAGGTTGTGATAAATAAAATTTGGTTTAATGATATGCTATTATTACTTTGATAGTTGGATGACACACACACATAAGTTGTACAGTGACTTTTCTCAAAATATATATCTATATATATATAATTGTAAAATTAATGTAAGAACAATTATTTTTTTTTATTTTTTTATTTTTTTTTTTTGGGTATTTAACTATCAAAGTAACTTAAATAATTTATGTCTAAAAATATTTGAGTCGGGTTCACTTACCCATTTAACATATAACCTGGTTATAACCTATTATAAATGGGTTGATAATGGGTTTTGACTCATTGCTGACTTGTCCATTTATGATTAATTCAAAATTCGTCCAAACCCATTCTATTGTCACTCCTAATTAACAGAATCAAAACTTAAATCACTACCTGCCGGCCCGAGTTGGTTTGATGTCGGGTTGGGCCTGCCCAACACCGCTAATTTCAATCTCTCTGTTCACAATTCACTTATTTATGAGGGAAAAAAATACGTATTCTCTTTACATGGGATGTTAAAAAATAACGGGGTCCACTGAAGTTTTGTACAATGAGCCTCGTCTTGATTCTTCACGTCAAATTTCTTGTATCTACAACGTAATTGTTGAGGTAAAAAAAATGTAACTGCTGCCTTCTTGTACCTGTTTGTGGATTTGGATATTTGAATTAAAATTTACAGTTTTAGTAAAAAATGGCATCCTAAACCTCCATTACCTTAAGAAAAAAAGTTTCCCGCTCACTGTGAAAATGAACAATTGTTTTCTTGTTCGGTCTCTTGATTCAACACGTAGGTATGATTGATATGAATTTGAGTCTTGAAATTACCTATTCTAAGACTCATGTTGGCCAATTGGCCAATACAAGGGTTTTTTTTTTCGGTGACATATGAAGTCATGGATGAGGAGAAGGCATGCACGTGTACAGAGATATATATAGGTTATGACCCACTCAAAAAACTTATTGGTCACGACGGAAGTTTATGGATGAAGAGATTCATTATAATCGTGTAAAGATATTACAAATCGTAACCCTCTCTATTTATTATACTTGCATTCTCGTGAGATTGTCCTTATGAATCCACTTATATCTTTCCACAATAACTTAAATGTCTATTGATATAAATTTGAGTCTTGAAATTACCTCTCTGCAAAAACGGATTTAAGAGTAAACTTTAGCTCACCTCATTGACAATTCCTATCTTTCTGAGACTCCAACCAGCCAAGGTTTCTGTATAAGTTTTATTCTTATTTTTTTTTGGGACATGTGAAGCCCAGATAAGAAGGCATGCATGTGTACATATAGATATATATATATATATATATAGGTTATGGCCCACTCAAGAAATTGAATTATGGGTAGTTCACACCATAATCTGACATGAAATTTGTCAGGTACAACAAAAGTCTACAGAGGAGGAGATTCATTATAATACAAATTCATAACGCTCTCCCAACCCATCAGAATTGGTTAAGAAAGTAGGCAAAGGAATCTCCGACAGTTTCTCATTCACCATATCAAAAGCAACAATCTTTGATTGCCCGTCTTGCAACTTGTGTGGCTGGTTTGGACATTGCGCAACTCATTTACGTCCACGTTCATATTTTAAAAATAACTTTTATTATTTGAGATACTTGGCTAACGCATCTTTAACATTTGATCGATATATTTTGAATACTCAACCAACACATCTTACACTATTTGTCTTATATAAACAAGAATACACCCAGAATTGAGATCTCTCTCTGCTTACATGTCGAGCGAAGATTTGTTCTGTAGTAGACCTATTCACCCAGAATTTACAAATTACACAAGTAATTGATTTCAAATAATTTTTTTTTTTTTTTAATACAATGGGAATGTTATTCTCTAAAGATTCAATCCTGCTCCAATTTGATCACTTCAGGCATTACAGTGTTATCATTGTTTAGATTACTCTCAGGTCAGAGGATGCAATAGCAAAAATGATACCACAATGCAACAACAGTGTCAATAAAAGTTCGGTAGAAGAGAAATGGAGTTCTAAATAACCATTTGAAATTCTTAAAAGATTATCAATATTTTAAGTGTTAGAAGTTAGATTAGTATGCCGAGAGTCAAGCCTACACTTCAAAGTCCACCGGAGGCGGCTATTGAGAATATCAAGATTGAGTATATTTTCTAATTTTTATTTTATTTTTTTAAAGTAGAGAATTAATGCTGATTATATATGTGTGATATATATATATATATTGTAAACGAAATACAATCCTTGGATTCACATAATCTCAGTCTGCGGTGTAGAGACGCTGAGGCCGACACCTAGTACTGACCGTGATTACTGGACTTTATGAAACTATCCTTACAAAGATTTATGAAGGCAAAACGGAACAAGTTATAAGAGAATGAAGATAGGCAGAAACAAAAATTGGAGTATATCATATTTACAATTCTCACAACAGCACTTAAAATTCATCTTGCTAGTAAAACCAGTTGAGAACTGGTTTTACCAAGAAAACTGGAACTATATCTGCATGAACATGAAATATTAAATCAAAGTTATGTGAACCTCGCGCATAATCATGTGCTCGGTGGTGGATTATGGAGTGCTCTAAGACACACACACAAAAACACCTCGCGAGTGGTAAAAACTGCTTTGTTTATTTCAGCTGTAAATTCTCATAAACATCAGAAACCTTTACATCATTTTTCCCACTCTTCTCTCCTCTTTCTTTGCCTAAACAAAAAATTCATACATGGCAAGTACAAAATTTATTGAAGTCTACGATTGTCATCATTTAGGAACTTAAAAGGGAACACAAACATGCCATGAAGATATATGTATTTATTTTTTGGTTTTTTAACTATAGTGATATGTCTATCTAGGCATTTTAACAGTGAAAACTATAATGGTTTTGTACAAAACCACACAGATTTAAATTTCAGAATACAGTCTGACTAAACGTAAGGAGTCGAAAGGTGTGTTCAACCTCCACTCCCTTTGTTTTTTGCTAAGAGGTCTTCCTTTCCCTGCTTTTTCTCTATTAATCCTAACATTTGCCAAACCCCATGTGCAACAATGTGTTCTAAGATCAAAAGAAATGATTCTGAAAACACCATCACTTTCAGTGGATGAACCAGTGCCATCTAATACATATTTAACATACATAGGCCGATCCTTGAACCGATCAAGCTCTTGTGGAATCTGAACAACCCTTTCGACGCCAGGTGAAGACACCTGAAAGGAAACACACTTGTTTCAGATGTAATAGGTAAACAAAAGAACAGTAGGAAGAATTTGAACCCAGTGTTCGGAATTCATGTTTCATGCAGCAGTTACCACAAAATGCTGCTAACCTAACAAGTGAAAAAGCTTCGATCAATTAAGCAATCACTAACTATAGGCTTAAACCCCATACAAAATGTTTTGGCCTACAATCAACACATAAAGATCATATACATTATTGTAGATTTGTGCTAACCTGATAAGTGAAACGGTTTTAGACCACAATTGAGCCATCCCTAACCATACCCATAAACCCTGTACACAATGCTCTAGCCTACAATCTTTGTATAGGGCCCACATATACATTTGGGATGTCAAAGTCTGCATTTCAAAAGAGTAGCGTGGTCTGTCTGCACTTGGCTGGTAAAAATAAGGGTTAATTACAACGACACCCCCTGAGGTTTACCATATTGACAGTTATATATAACTTGGCCCTTTTTTGAACGAAAACACCCCCTAAATTTGATAAAGTTAGCAAAGACACCCCAATGGTCGTGAATTGACATTATTGTCCTTTAACACATTCAATTACCAATTTACCAAATACAATTATTTTTTATTGACCAAAATACCCTAGAAACTATACTCATACCAGTTCACACCCACCACCACCATTTCACAGCCCTACCATAGCCGCCGCCACTAGAGCATCTGAAGATAATCTTCAGATGAAGAAAACATTGCAATCAATCCGCTTCATTCGTACTAGAACTCAGAGCATCTAAACCTAGATTAACTCAAAAAGCTTATAAATGTGACCACTATCAAAAAATTGAACAGGAAAAAAGCTCTGAAATTACTGAGAAGTGAATCATCAATTGCGAATTAAGCTTGGAATAAAATATAACAAACCAATTTGAAAGGATCCATCCAATTTACCATAGTTCGAAAGAATCAAATTCACAGGAAATCTGGCAGGGACGCATATGTTGGAAACCTAGAAACCCTTGAATTAGAGAGATTTGATTTAACGAATTAGAATGAAAGGAAAAGGAAATAAATTTGAACGATTTGGAAGGAAAAAATTAAAAAAGGAAAAGAGAAAGGAGAAGAGTTCACTAAGATCAAGAGGCAGCGGCTGGCAACGGAAAAAATTAAATTTGAACGATTTGGAACGATTTAGCGTCGATGCAATGGCAGCGGCTGTGGTTGTTGGGGAGAGGCGGCAGCGGATCAAGAGGCAGCGGCGACAATGGCGGATCAAGACGCAAAGGAGACGACGGATCAAGATGGTGACGATGGCGGATCTGGATGGGTGGTGGCGGATCTGGATTAAGGATGCTTTGAGATTGGTTATATGTATATATATATTTATATATGAGATGTATATATATATATATATATATATGATGGTACTGATGTAATAGTGAATATATATAAGGGTAAATTTGACTTTTCATGAGTTATGATATTTTACCATAAAAATAATTAAACATTGAAGGGCAATTTCGTCTTTTCAAATGTTTTAAGGGCTTGTTTGGATTAGAAATTCTCTTAGGGGGTGTCTTTGTTTAAAAAAGGGCTAAGTTGTATATGACTATAAATATGGCAAATCTCAGGGGGTGTCGTTGTAATTAACCCTAAAAATAAAGGGACCTCTCTCCAAGACAACAAGCAATTGCTTTAGGGAAACAACAAGGAAAATCAGAGACAATGATATATTTAAATTAAAGGACTACCTCCAAAGCTATGTTCTCAGGAAAAGATCCGGCAAGCTCGGCTTCATCTAGCCTTGCTCCGTAGGCCGACGAGAAAGCTTCAATATCAGTCATACCGGGGGAACCAGACCTGAAAAATATAATTGCAGATCAAAGCTGTCTTAGAGGTTCCTCTTTTTAGGTGCAAAACTAGACACAACATGTGTTAAAATGCAGAAACACTTGATAATCGAAGACCAAACACAAAAACTAAAAACACAAAAAATTAAATAAGAAAAAGAAAAAAGATCTCTGTGATTTCAGATTATGAAAATAATCAACCACAATATTGGCTCAAGTGGGTAAGTCATTTGGCCCTGATGCCTCATGGAGCATCAGGTCTAAGGTTCGACTCCTCTTGTGTGCAAACAATTCCTTGGAGGGGGGGTGTGTTAGTATCAACTATCAACTAGGAAAAAAAAAAAAAAAAAGATGATGAAATAATCACACCATTATGACAAGTGCTATTGCATGGAACAATCATAAAGCTTACCAAATGGGGCAATAGCCCAGCTGGTACAAACTTGGCCCCCCAAAGGAGAGGTTAGGGGTTCGAGTCTTAGTGAAGGCATATGTGTGTGAATTCGCTTTACCATCCAAAAAAAAAAAAAAAAACAATCAAAAAGCCTTGCCTGTCAAGTGTGGAAACTCAGGAAATCAAGTCTAAGGGCGAGCACTTTACGTAAATATAGCTGGAGATTGGGTTTGTATTTATTTTTTTTCCCTAATTGGTACTCACATACACATGCCTCCATCGAGGCTCGAACCCCTAATCTCTCTTTGAGAAGTAGGGGCTTGGTACCGCTAGGCCACTGGCCTGTTAGTGATTGGGTTTGTACTTAGCATTCTATATTTATAACATAATACTTGACAATAGCTTTTTAATCAACCATCAACAACATTATCACAAAAGAATTTAAAAGAATAACACAAAAGATGTTGACTTCTATGACATATTCAACAATACCTTTTCCCCAATTATCTAGGCTGATAACATCAATCATGTTTTGTCATTTTGCTCTAATGCCATGACGTCAATCAAACCACATGCTATCACACGGCTTTTTAAAATTTTAATTCATATTAGCTGTGGTCATAGTGCCATACCATGCTCCTACAATTACCCTCAATGTGTATTACATCACTTTTCCTCGTACACAATTATTGATCTTAGTTGCAAATAGCAAACTCATTTTAATCGATTGCCGTATCCTATTTCCAGTATGAGCCAATGTGTACTACATCAGATAGGTTCACTGTTATTTGTCCTTTCTTACCTTACCATACATATATCTTACATCTCAATATTCGTATTTTGGCAACACTCATTTTATGAATATGTTATTTATCAAACACCCAACATTCTGCCCTATAGAGGTATACATCGATCACACAAAATGCCAGAAGAACTGCTTCATCCAACCCACTACTTAAATTCTATGGTTATCATATCCAATTTCTCCCTAATTGTGGACAATGAAACTAGGAAACGAAATATCTTTTTCAATTCTTTTTTTGGTTGGTATCAGTTGGATTTCTAAGAGATAATATTTCAAAGTGGAGATTTAAAAGGGAAACAGTTCGCATGGATCTCTAGAATTTGGCAAAGGCTTTCTCTCTAACATTTCCATCCCATAAAATCCAAGTTTACAAAAATATGCGTTGACCATTTCTATTAAAGCTTCTGTTGTATAACTTGTATCTCAAAGGATTTAGATAGTAAGGTAAAATTTAATTAAAAAAAAACCACCTTGTGAGTTACAGTTTGGATTTACAATGAACGTCCATGGAAGATTTCTTATGCATTTGCTTACTATTCTGCAATGCCCAAATGAGAAATGATTGGCAAGGTTCAAGAAATAACATAGAATTAAGGAAAAGGAAATAATAAAAGAGTTTAAAGAACATACATAAATAGATGAAAAGAATCTTCTTCAAAGGTAATTTTAGAAGACAAAACATTGTCTACTTTGGAATATATATGATGTAGGACAAGTGCGTAGCACACTCTCCTACTGGTCTATGAGACCACAATTAATGTATAGAAGCACCAAACAGAGGCTTTTGAGGGATAATTATAAATTTATTATCGAGTTTTTATTGCTAAAGCTTGCTAGAAATATTAGTTTTTAGGGTTTAGTAATTACACAAGGAAAGTAGGTAGTCTAAAGCTATTCTTGGTGCTGCAAACCGTTAACTACAAACAGTAATTTTGCTGATTAGGCTCTTCAACTTTCCCAGTCATTTCAATAATTAATTGGAGGTTTTCCAAACCTTGACTTCACGTTTTTAGTCCATTAATTTTTTGCATATACACAATATTGACATGCTACATTGTTTCAAATTTACAAGTTACTCAAATAATTATCATCTCCCACAAAGTGTATATCTACTGTTGTTCTAACCAACTTTATATCTCTTATAACACCAAACCCATCACATGTTTCACCTTGGCTTAGCAAACATCAGTCGCTAATCATTCATTTCACTGCACCAATCAAAATACTCCTTAATAGACGGGAACCAAAGGAGACTGTTGCAAATGTGCATAGACTCCATACTACCACAATCCAAGTTCTAGACCAATTCAATGACGTGTCTACTCCAATTGCTCTTACAATTGAGTTTGTCATTTCAGAAATTCATTAGTATAATTGGAAAACTAAATAAATAAATTTTCATTATATTCCTAAGTATCTCAAACAAAGAGGAAATGTTGTATCAACTTAAAACTTTTGATACCAAACCGTGTATGCAATTAAGGAGCTCATGAATTCTGATATATTAACATTTCAAAACTCTTAAGGAAGAATTTTCTCCAATAGAGGAGTGTGCATCTATTATAGACTCAAGAAATAGCAAGCCCAAAGAAGATAATGATCTCAAAAATTGGTTAAATTTTAAAGTGAGACCCATGTAAGACCTTGTGTAGCTAATTTTTAATTTTAGTCAACTCTCTCTCTCTCTCATTATATTTTTTTTTCCCTAGTTGGTACTCACTCCCCCCCTCCCTGTCTCTTCTCAAGGAATTGTTTGCACCCAAGAGGATTCGAACCTCTCTCATTATATTTATATTTTTATTAATTTTTAAGAGTCAAATTTACCATTTTAATAATTTATAGATTTGCTGAACATAAGTTGTAGTAGGATATATACTTATCAAAAAAAAAAAGGTTGTAGTAGGATATAGATTATGATATGGGGTATTTATGAATGATTATTAATACGTAAAGTTTGAGTTTCAAAATATGACATCCAGGTAAGAATTCCCAAAAGTGTACATTTATATGTGTGTGTATGTAGCTATCTATGCTTTCGATTCAATAGATATCAGTTAAGGGATTAAAGACTAAGAAAAGGGCAAGTTATATGCATACTGCGCAAAAAGACTCCTCTTTTAGAGTCAACTTCAATATGCAGGATGACTAGAAAACCAAAAAAATTCAAGCTCTTTCAGAATTGTGTGATGCAATTCTGGCCCTAAGTGGATGGATAATATAATCTGAATATGATGCATACCTTCTACTTTCTTTCTTCTTTTCTGCAACTCTATATACTTTTACATACACAAATCAGATCTTGTTAATTACTCAACCCTAAAACACCTCTTTCATAAGCTCAACCATTGTCTCTCTGAAATCATTCAAATTAGCACACAAAACAACATATAAGCATAGTTATTGTTCTTGGATTACTCAATGCAGCACAGGGACTTTACTTATCAAAAAACAAAAAAAATGCATCACAGGGACTTTCTATAAATTTCCAATCTAAAACCCTATATTTGCAACCTTTAATTTTTTCCTAACATATCGGCTCCTCCCTAATATGTAATACTCTTGAAAATGTTCTTGTCTAATAACTCCAACGGCCTTCTCCTTGGACTTTCAGCAGCCAAGTACTTCTAAACCTCACCAATCCCAATGCCTTGTCACCTATACAACCCAAAAGCCTTTTTTCTCCCTTACCAGAACGCCAAATCTATAAGTATTCCATAACATAAAGCCACCACAAAATCCATTGTAGAAGATTCTATTAATAGTTTGAAGTTATGCCATTGTCAGTCCCATAATCAATCGGATAGTCGGAGCTTGTAGGAGAGTTCTGAAGTTCGGCCCATAATCAATCCCATAATCAATCAGATTACCAGAGATAGGAGGAGAATTTTACTTTGTACTCGTCCTACATCAATACAGTTCCCTCATAAAGTCATCCAACTTCATTCAAACCCAACAAATCCAACCTTCCATCCTTTCTTCAGATATGTGATTAGCTATTTGGGCAGGTAGGTAAATAATAATTAGAAGTTCTGTTTTGTTAGAAAGAGAATTTGGGGAGAAAATGCCATATATGTTGCTCAATGACAGAATTATCCAATATCACTTCTCTTCAATAGTGTCAGATGCTTACTTATTTGAAAGCTTCTCAATGCGTACTTGAATGATGGAATTTGCTAATGTCTTGAAGGCATATATTTTCAATTCACCATCAAATGATAGAGCGACCTCTTCAGCTATTGCTAATGCTTCTTTATCCCATGATGTCCCAGCAAGTGAGATTCCGCCTCCCCCACCTCCATCTCCGGCCTTCAAACAGGAGGAAAAGATTGTTATGCAAAATGTCAACTTCAATCATTTACTAATAATGATTAAGAAAACTCTCTGCACAGAACTTACATAGAGTTCAGCATCTTCAGCCAAATACTCATCCTCAAAATAATCATCGCCCTCCACTGATTCCTCTATGCAGATAAAAAAAAATCCATTTAGACATGATATCTTGATTTTCACACACATATAGATACACATGCTAATTTTTAATATGCATTATGCAATAAAAAGGAAAAATTAGAGTCAATTCACTACTCGAATTTTGTCAATTCCGCTCAAATGCCAGCCAAAAACAAAATTACATGGGCAAAAACATGTTGTATATCACTAAACAGAATGCATATAATAACTGAAATAGTCCAAATAAACCACAAAAGATGTGATCTATTTACATTGTATTAGTTCCAATTCTCCACGGATATTAAGTCATCTTACTAAATCTGTCAAAAAGACATGGTCAATGGTCTTTTAAAGAATGCACCAAAGCTGTTGTAGCACACTACAAAAGCATTGGCATGACATCTAAAGGGAGGGACGGGTTTAAGATTGAACCTGACTGCAGACAATAAAAAAAGTAATCCTTTAATAGAACACAACAGAATCTTTTAGAGAGCTCGTGATAAACTACTCTCATCAAGAATATAGACATATTACAATAAATTGTTGCTTTTCAAATGATAAATTGTAAGCACATGAAAAAAGTAAATAAGCAAGAAACGTAAGGACAAGCAGTGAATGGATAATAAATGATTATTTCTTTAGAATGTTGCATCCCAATTTCAAAGTTCAGTTATAAATTTTTATCATAATAATATTGTACAATGTAGAAAGTTTTCAAAACGCTCTAAAGGGCTAGCCCAGTGCACAAGGTTCCCGCCACTGCAGGGTCTGGGGAGAGTTTGATGTACGCATCCTTACCTCCATATGCAGAGAGGTTATTTCCTGTTTCGAACACGTGACCTCTAGGTTACAATTAGGGCTGCAACTTGGGCGGGCTAACCCAGCCCAGCCCAACCCCAACCCAAAAATTTTGAAATTTGGGCTTAAAATTCACAAATCGGGCTCATGTTCGGGTTGGGTTTTGTCAAAACCCAGACATGTTCGGGTTGGGCTCGGGCTCAACCCGAACCCAACCCAAAACTCGAAATAAAAAAATATATACATATTTTTTTATTTTTTTTTCTTCTTTCTCTCTCCTCTCTCTTCTTTCTCTTTCTCTCTCTGCCGCCGCCATCCATCGCCCTCAGCCGCTGATCCACCGCCGCCTCCGTCACTTCCAAAAATTAAAACAAAACCCATACAAACAAGTTAGCAGTTGTAGAGAGAGAGAGGGGGGCAAGCTTGAGAGTTGAGAGACAGTGGCTGAAGCTTGTGAACGGCGAACCCGAACTCGAACAACGGGAGATGGAAACTGAAAGATATTGGTTTTGATTTTTTGAACAATCAGAAATGATATGCCGATATGGGTTTTGAAATAGGTAATAGGTTTTGAACTTTTGATTCTTGCAGACAGATAGATAAACTGAAATATATGAACTTCTGATTCTTGTAGATTTTGCACACAAAGAGAGAGAGAGAGAGAGAGGGCAAGTTCAGACTTGAGAACGATAATAGAGATGGAGGCGATCTGAAATGATTTGGCTTAAAAAAATTTTTTTTAATAAAAATATAATTAAATATATATATATAAATTTCCGGGAGGAAAAAAATTTAAAAACTCAAACCGTCAACCCGACCTGACCCATCCGAAAAATACTCGGGCTGGATTTTGACCATAACCCATGTTGGGTACAATTCGGGCTGGCCCAACCCATCCAGATTCGGGTTGAGGTTGGGTTGGTACTGGGCTGGGTTGGGCCAGCCCAACTTGCAACCCTAGTTACAATGAAGCAACCTTATCGTTGCGTCAAGCTCGCCCTCTTTTTCAAAACGCTCTCTTCATGCTAAAATACAATCCATTCAGACTGTGTGTCACCGGAGAACTAAATTTCTTGATGTCATTGCAACCCTAACCCCTGAAAATGAACTAAAGCACTCGTCTTCCTAAGACACCTTACCTAAAAGAAGATTAAACAACTTCTTGAAATTTCAGTGCGAGCTATATTAAAAATAACTCTAGCCAGGTTTCCCACAAAAGCTCCCCTAAGTTGAGTAGTTATCAGATTCTCCAAATTAGATGAACAAGTATAAAAAAATGGGCTGAAAGAGATTTTTTATTAAATATCACAAACAATCCTGAAATTGTGCAGCAATGAGTAAAAGATTAAAAACGTACTCCATCAACAGAAGTTTCTTTGATTATTTAGACTACTTATGTTGTTTTTTTATGTGAAAAAATAAAAAATAAATAAATAAATAAATAAAAGACGGAATTTTCCAATTCTCATAAAGAATCTTGCAATCAACCTTGATGTATAACCTCTATAATCCATTCTAGAAGGTTGGGATCCCCCTCTCACCGTATGAGGGGAGTCCAAGCGTCGTTAACAATGGCTTCTAAAAGTAGAATTGTTCCTTACTAGCTAAGGTAGAAAGCTTAGAGCAAAAACTCTCACTGCATTACTTACTCTCATAATTCACTCGTTCTTTTTCACATCTTCTATAATCTGTTCTAGGATGGCTGGGATCCCCCTCTCTCACCATATGCAGGGAGCCCGAGTGTCATTAACAACAGCTTCTAAAACTAGAATTATTCCATATGGTGTAAAACTAAGAGCAAAAAGTCTCACTCCTTTCCTTACACTCGCAAGTCTCTCTCTTTTTCATGTCTTCCCTACTCTGTTCTAGGAGGAATCCCCTCTCTCAGCATATGAGGAAAGCCCGAGCTTCGTTAGCAAGGTCTTCTAAATGTAGAACTGTTCCTTACTAGCTATAATCATTGTCACATTACCACTTCTTATGGGTCAAACATTGGCTTTTATATTTAGAAATGAATATATAACAGCTTAAATCTAAGGATTTCATAATGTACTTGAAATAACATATACTAGCCATAATTTGTTAACTTAGTCAGACTCATATGCCACTGAAACTTTTTGTATCCCTCTATAGCCTTGTAAAATTGAAATGCTTCATGATTCGGTAAACAAGCACATAAGACAACATACAGAGTTGGCTGCAACCTACCTAGCTATATTATTCAATATTGATCATTTACATTAAAGTCAATATCCAAGTAAAGTTTTGATCATGCAAATCAATTCGAACAATCATAGCTGACATGAGAAAGGGGTTGTAAAAGGATATCTTTGTCTCAAGGAAACAAGCCCTCTTAAGGAACAACAAAAAACATCTATAAAATATCTATTAATTCTCGCTATATTGCTCATGTGAAGCACAATAGTTTCTGTATTAAAGAATTGAAATTATAAAGGTTGCCACGGGAAATCACAGACATGTCTATCTTAAGACAGACACAATCACGCCTAAAAAAAGTTGAATCTTCAACTTTCCCATCTTCAGGTACAAAGTTGTAAAATTTTGTTTATAGCAACATCCAGAATAAATAGTTATTGACGTGATGACAATCATTTTGTTAACATTTTGTGTACTATTGATATGATCGATGGTGAATGGAACTACAGAAGATGACATATGAAGAAGAAAATCATGATAACATGGGGCCAAAAAAGCCATGCCCTGTAACTTCAAAAATATGGTAAATTTTTATTTTATTATATTTATCCTCATTGAAAGAAAAAAATAAAAATAAAAAATCAGCTGAAATGATTCCAAACACATTCCTAAGCAAATAGTCAAATCTGACCATTTTGAAATTTAAATATTAAGAACTTAAAATCACATGTCCAATTAGGGTCTAACCAACACCAAACGAAACTAGAGTCGAAATATTATACAAGAAAATTATTTAGGGGTCTACATCCTTATTGTATTTCGTTATGTGGGTCAATGAAAACTGTGATAATAATCTGTCTTCTTTGGTTCTGTTTGAACCAGTGATGTACAGACCTAACTAAAATTCCATACATCAGATGAGAAATTTTTTATCTGAAACTAGACTAACAAAACTTATGATTTGTTAAATCCCATGAATTTTAGAGACCTATAAAAATTTAAGCTTTATTTTGTTATTCAGTACTATTGCAGCAAGAAAATTTTCTACAGCACAGACAACCCATCTTCGAAGATTCATTAAAAATTAATTTTTAGTGTTTCCTCAAGAGATAAGCACCAAATCATTCACAAAAGACTAAAGTGTCACATAAGATTTTACAGAAAACACAGTTCAATCAATAATGTTTTATAAAAATTGAGAAACTGCCATCATGGAGAAAAAATATCCTGAACACAAAGGGCAATTTTAAAAAATTTAGTTTAATAATTTCATGTGTTCCATGACCAGCATAATTTTTTTTACTAGCAGAATAATCTACGTATTCAGACTTCCAAGTGGAAGCATGCCAAATATCACATCCGGATTCAAAATAAATTCTGAAATCAATCAAGTTTGACAGAAAGCACCACAATAACACCTTTGAACAACTCAAGCTTTAAACAGGTTTATAAAAGAGAGAAGAGATCTACTTATCGAGAGAGAGAGAGAGAGAGAATTCTAAAGCACATGAAAATTAAATGTCAACACTAAAATGCAGGAAGAAAATCTTCATGAAAACTCTGGGATATCTTCTATCTCATAAGCATTGTTTGAATCTGCAAATGTTGTTAGGACTTAGGTATGAGCAAACAGCCCAATAGGAAAATAGCCTTTTCAAGCAATCAAGCAAATTTCAAACATGTAAAAGCCACAAGTTTCCATTGATTTGAGAGAATTGTTTAAATTGGATAAATGATTTTGTAAAATTCTTGATTTAAGCATGTTCTATGAGAAAAATATTTTTGTGCATTCATCATCTTAAACTCATTATCTTATTTGTTTTAAAATCCCTCAGGAACTATTTTGGGAATCACTTTTCCTACTGAGTTGTTGAGCTCACTCCTATAGATATTTTCGTGTTATGAGTGACACTGAACAGTTGGGTTTACTAGTTAGATAAGTGAACAGTTGGTTTACTAGTTAGATGCTTTCAGCAGTTATCCGCTCCGCACTTGGCTAACCGACGTTTACTATGGGCATGATGACTGATACACTAGAGGTGCATCCTTCCCAGTGCTCTCGTACTAGGGAAAGGTCCTCTCAATGCTCTAGTACCCACACTGGATATCAACAAAATTGTTCAAGATGTTCTGAACCCAGTTCATGTACCGCTTTAATGAGGGAACAGCTTTGGACTAGCGACGACAATAATAATGTGGCATGAAAAAAATAAACTTCTATTTGCGATTTGTCAATTGAAGGGTTGAAGTAGTGTTCTTTGCAAGTGGAAGTTGGTGAACTATGTACTCTTTCCGTCACAAACTTCTTGTCCATCTTTCTATTTTGGGATGTCCCAAAGCACGTCCCAATCCAAAAATGGATGTACTGTTTTTTATAACATTCCCAAACTATCCTCTTGACAATGATTTGATTAAACGAGTGCACTAATTACGGAGTACTCCTTTGTCTTTTAACAAGGATAGATTTATAAATTCAATCTTATCAATACAATAAAAAGTATATATTAAAGACACACTACCATGAGTCGGATTCCCAAACACCCCAAGAATTTTGTGACGGAGGGAGTAAACTCTTTTTTTTTTGGGATCTTCTAATTAAGTTACTCAAGTGATGGATCTTTTAAGTGTGGAGAGTGAGGAAGTGGAAATTATATAATAAAATTTTTGTCTATTTATTAGAGGACTGTTTGCAAAACTTTTGACTTTTCAAAGGTGTAATTTAAAATTTAATTATCACACTTTGAATTCTCAGTATGATTTGGGGTTGACAAAAAAAAAAATTAAGCATATTGTTGAGGAGGTATGAGAATGTACCAGTTGCATAGCAATTGCATATTTGAGGAAGTATAAAAGATCAATTTATCTATAGAATCAGTTTGCCTTAAAAATGAGGAAAAGATATTGAAGAAAAACACACAAAAATAAAATATATAAATAAATAAACAACCCCGAGTTAGTAAGGCTTAGAGGTATTATATTGCTCAACAAGGATATCCAACTTTTGCAACTTTTCCTAATCAACTCTTAAAACAATAATTTTATTTAAGAGAATAAGAAAATGACTATCATCACTTGTAGACCAAGAGATCCAGCATTCGGTCCAATTAAGATAATGAAATAAGAAAGAGCAACATGGAATGGTATTCTATGATAATATTACAAATAATGCACATTTTGTTATTCAATTTGATACACACACACACACACACCTATCAGCTGCAACTACTCTCTTGATTACGAATTTGTAGCATCAAAATTCAGAGTACCCAAGACAAATCCAGTGGGATACACATATCACCTAACTGCTTCTCCATTGGTTATTCTTTCTTCTGCCCAAAAATCTATTTGGTTGAATTCTCCTCTGATGAATTCCTCCACTATGAATATTCAATTACATATGACAGCATTGGGAAATTCTCTCTATCACAAGGAGTTTATCATTCTAAATGATTAGAGACTTGGATCATCTCGTAGAATGACTATAATAAACTCATATATATAGCCAATATAGGTACTTGTTATATTTTGGTAAGTTGAATCCTTGTAGAAATTGCCTTTGAGAGATTTTTCAAAAATAAACCTAGCAGAGTTCAATTGATCTAGGCATCAATCAACACCTACTGCCAAACTACTCGTTCGATCAACCAACCAGTAGTAGCATAATGGGTACAATAAAATGTTCTGAAAAAATTAGATCGATCCACCTATCAACCAAAGTCTACTGGAGAGCCCTTCGATCAATAGAACACATACTGTTCTTCAATAAAAACATAGTTTTAAAACCTCCTAAAAAATCATTACTTCTACCTTCCAAAAAAATCATTACTTTGAAAATCTATTTATCGAAAAAAAAAAATTAATCAAGTATTTTGAGTCTCACCAGGATCAAAACTAGATTGTCTAAGGACTTTCTAAGGTCATTTACTTGTGCCCTAGATATGTGATTGAGGATGCAGATTTCTCATTGTTTTCTTCGCAAATCTTGTCTGCATAGTCTTCAATGGTTGTATTCTTCATGACTCATGACACATGACACATTACAACCAAGGTTTGAGTAAGAAATTTCCAACCCATGACTCACATACCAAACATCCAGAGAAACTCATCACATTATCATATGGCTTCTACCATGCTTGTCTAACTCACAGTCCGTTTCAGCAAGATCATGGCTTTTGTGCCATTCTATGACCTATGTTGTGTAGGCAAATTAAATATCAGTAAAATTTTCAATACAAGACCAAGAGGTGAACAAACCAAAATCATCATTCTTATTAAGCCCCTACAAAGGTGATTATGATTTTGACACACAACCTGAACTTCAAGCCATATATTATGCCACAACATATTTAAACCCAAATCATAGAACACACTAAATAACACCACGCAGACACTTCTAGTAGTATAACCATAAATAGGCATTATATTAAACAAGGCCCAAACTTGTGGAGAGAAAAACCCAAACTTCAAAATTCCTAATGACAAAAAATAAGATTCACACCGGAGGAGTATAAGAGGCTAAGAGCCTGTTTGGAACTGAAAATCAAAAACTGTATAGAAACTTGTTTGATTGTTGTTTTCTAAAAATGAAATTTTAAAACTCCCAATTAAAAAAAAAAAAAAAGGCATGTTTTCAGAGAATTGTCTTTTATAATTTTTTTTTTTTTGTTTACTGACTTACTGAGAACCATTTTCAAAAAATTGAACCAAACAGGTTATAAGTTATTGATTCATTAGAAAATATTGGAGACCCAATTGACCTCACCTCACTAATACCACCATGAAAATAATACTATGAAATTGTATCACTCTAAAAACCTACTACTACTTTCTTTATGTTAAAAGTAGATTATAGAATTCAAAACTATCAAAGAACATAATTGAATAAAAAAATAAAACAGAACACAAAAAGAAAACAAGAATCAGATAGTGACTGATTACCGTCTCCAAAGTCATCAAGGAGAAGGCCGTCTTCATCGTCCACCGACACTTGTTCAACAATGTTTGGCTTCAAAACTGGTTCAGAAGGCGAATTTCTCTTGCTGGAATGAACAATACAGAAACCCTTAGGAGTATAGGGAAATGGGTACCACCAAACGGGGCATGAGAACTTATGGGTCAGGCGAGAAAGTATGAAAAAGCTACCATCAGCCACACCAGTCGGTGAAAGTAAGAATCCACAGCCGTTACTGATGTTCCAACTTGTACTTAAATCCATTTCCTTGGCCTATTGGGTCTCTCTCTTCCACAACTCTCTCGGAGACTATCAAAGAAACCAGTAAGTAGATAAATTAGTTGTTCGCCAAAATTCCAAAATACAAAGATCCTCTGGTTGGATAAATTAGTTGGGCTTTTTCCGAACCCGAACCATTCTGTACAATTTGGGGGTTTTTTTCTTCTTTTTCTCAAAAGTAAAAAGCCAAAAAAAAAAAAAAAAAAAAAAAAAAAAACAAACACACTATATTGTAACGGCCAGTTGTTTTGAGCAGACTGAAAAGCATAACTCCAATCCAATGCCACATGGGTTGTTATTTTAAAAATATAACAGGTGGGTATAAAATAGGCCCTTCAATGCCATGTCAACTGGACTATCAATTTTTACCTTTATGAATTCTTATGCCAATTGTAACGTAAGCACTAACAATTGCTATTTCTCTCTCCCTCCTACACCATACTCTCTCCTCAAATCATAGACAACTCGCCTACACCTTAGCCACTCTTCGCTTTGAAACTCTAGAAAGAAGCAACCGTTATGAAATATATATATATATATATATATACTTTTTGATTTAAAAATTTTCAATTTCATTCTAAAATCCGGCATGGGCTCTCTATTTGCGATCCAATTTCCATCTTTTGGATTCAGAATACTCCTCTCCTGGGTAACAATTACCACTCTCTCAATGCATATGTTTTGTGTTAAATTGATTTTCATGTATGTATACACTACAACAAAAATAATTATCGGCGTTCTTGTAAGAGTGCTGGTATATATTGCTTAAACCGGCATTCGCTGCAAGAACGCTGGGAAGTGCAAAACTAGCCAGCACTCTAAAATTATTTCACTTTACTATTTGATTAATTTATCACTTGTTTCTAACTTTTTATATATATATATATATATATATACTTTCTGATTTAAAAATTTTGAATTTCATTCTAAAATCTGGCATGGGCTTTCTATTTGGGATCCAGATTTCCATCTTTTGGATTCAGAATACTCTTCTCTCCTGGGTAACCATTACCACTCTTTCAATACATATGTTTTGTGTTAAATTGATTTTCATGTATATATAAACTACAACAAAAATAATTATAGGCGGTCTTGTAGGAGTGCTGGTATATATTGCTTAAATCGGCATTCACTGCAAGAACGCTCGGAAGTGCGAAACTAGCCAGCACTCTAAAATTATTTCACTTTACTATTTGATTAATTTATCACTTGTTTCTAAGTTTACCAATCTCATCCGACATTACAAACTTCAAGCCCTAGGTTTCTCTTCAGCCTCCCCAATCGCCTCCATCTCTATTCTCGTTCTCACCTCTGAACTTGCCCTCTCTCTGTCTCTACAACTGCAAACTACAAAATCTACAAACTTCAAGCCATAGGTTTCTCTTCAGCCTCCCCAATCGCCTACATCTCTATTCTCGTTCTCAACTCTGAACTTGCCCTCTCTCTGTCTCTGCAACTGCAAACTACAAAATCTACAAGAATCAAAAGTTCAAAACCCATACACTTTAATTTATCTATCTGTCTGCTAGAATCAAAGTTCAAAACCTATTACCTATATCAAAACCCATATTGGCACATCATTTTAGATTGTTCAAAAAATCAAAATCCATATTGGCATATCATTTCAGATTGTTCAAAAAATCAAAACCCATATCTTTCAGTTTCCATCGCCCGCTGTTCCAGTTCGGGTTCACCATTGGCAAGCTTTAGCCGCTGGCCCGCTGTCTCTCAACTCTCAAGCTTGCCCCCTCTCTCTCTGCAACTGCTAACTTGTATGTATGGGTTTTGTTTTTATTTTTTTTTTCAACTCCTTTTCATCGTTAAATAACCTCCCGATTTCTTGTTTCTCTCCCCTCTCTAAAGTTGTGGGATTCACCGGAAATGCAACTGATCGATACACGGCGCGCGAACATATACATACATATATTATATATATATACATATACACACATGTCTATCTCATTTTCAGGGAGATTACTTCCATTATGAAGCTTCTTAAGGAGGACGAGGTTACATTTCTCTCTCTTACTGCACAATACATGTTTGAATATGTTCACATATATATATATTTATATATATATATGGGGCTGAAATTTATTGGATTTGAAAAAAAAAGGGGAATTGTTGGGATAGTAAAATCTAAGTTTTTATCATCTGATACATTTATAGGACGAACTATGCATTTTGGGGCGGATGTGGAGGCGTTCACTGCTGCTTTAAACAGGGACATTGAGGGCCACACCTCCACTTCTCAACCCTCTGATTCAGGTGGTGGTGAGTATGCATCTCTACAAGCTTTGGATTAAGGACGAGGTTCTATTTTTTTTTCTATAATTTTTTTATAATTTGATTAAGGCCGCTCCCCCCTTGATTGATGAGAGATGATTTTAAATCTGATGTAATGTTTTTTCATTTTATCATGTTTTTTTTTAAATTTTTTTAATCCTGTTTTTTCCCCTCCCATGAGGGAAGGAAGAATAAGATAGTTAGTTGTTGCATTCAAGAATTTGTCTATATATATATATATATATATATATTTGTTCTGTAGTCAAAATTTTCAACTTTCCCGCCTGCAAATAGGAATCCAATTACATTTTCTGTATCATGTGTTTTCTGTTTCTTAATCTTTTAATTGTACATTGTCAAAATAATCTGAATTTTATTTTACTAACTGAGTATTATATCATAAATATACATTTTACTTTCCTTTTATAAGGGAATTGTAATTATACTTTGTATTACTTTAGCCATGGTTATTGATTTTTTTGCATTTTGTGTATCATCGTTCTCACGTTGAGTTTATCAGTTAAAGCATTAGTATTACTGGGGTCTCTGTTTATTTTGAATGGTAAGTACAAGTCATGATACTTAGATGAGTTATTGCCATTTCATTTTTACGGAGGAATTTCAGTTGACAGAAAGGATATTTATATTGATACATTCAATCGAGTCCCATTTATCTTCATCCATCAACTGCCTTAAATGAAAGCCTTCCTTATTTTGAAAACGAATTAGAAATGGGCTTACACCCATCCAGTGGAATATTCTGACCATTTATTCTCCACCCATCATCCTTTGACCATGAAGCTGGAGAATAGCTGCTTGAAAACAGACTCAGCTTATCTGTCTTGCTAAGTTTGTGGATCGCTTTATATGTTGAATGCCTCAATTAGATGGCTTGAAAATAGTCATATCCGTAAAATTATTTCATGCTATTGTTATGACTGATTGAAGATTTTGGTTTTAGTTATAATTTTTGTTATTGTTGTTTGTTCTTCGATTGCAGGCTCTCTCAAAAGCTTTAAAAGAGGATGAGTTGGTTTATCTTAGAGCTCAGTTTATGCTTTTGGAACCTAACAAAGATGGATATGTCTCGCTTGATAATTTCAAAATGGTTATTTACTTCCCTTTCTTTCTATTTGATCCTTAAATTGAAGTTGATTATGATTTCAGGGAATTATTGTTCTAATTATGGAGATGACATGGTCATGTGATAAAAGAAATTATGTTCTGTGTTAGCCAGTCTTCTTATCCTCATTCCTTCCTATAAAGTCAAATTTATGGTCAAACGAGAACTGAAAACAAATTTGCAGGCTCTTGTGCGAAATGCAACTGATGCAATGAAGGAGTCAAGGATTCCTGATATTCTCAATGTGGTGAGGACTTTGGGATCATTATTACTCAGTGAAAAAGTATATGATCATTGTTTCTGATATTTATTCTAGTGTTTATGATATTTTTGCATGTTTAAATGCTTATAAAATGAGTAGTTCCTTATGAAATAACCATTTTTGCTTGATTTTCGTGCTTGGTAACATGTTTATTTAATGATAAACAATCTTTAAGCTAAATTAATACCTGTTACTTAACTACAACTTCAATTAGGTATTAGTTGGAATATGTCCAGGGTTATCTGCAGCAATCAAATAATTTATAGACTTTTTCTATCATATTCCATTTCTATAAGTGCTTTTTGTCTTGTGAATCCTGAATATTACACTGAATTATTTTCTTCTTTTTTCAAGTTTAAAATTAACATTGTTTTTCCCGACTCTCGGTGCTTGTCTTTTATTGTAGATGGCACCACTGTCTTATCAAAAGATGGACTTTGAAGAGTTATGTGAAGCTGCAATCAGCACATATCAACTAGAGGCCAATTTGGCCTCATTTCTCTCTCTCTCTCTCTCTCTCTCTCTCTCTCTCCCCAGCTATCTCTCTCTTTCCCTTCTCTTTTTCTTTTTCCTTTTCACAAACTTCAATCTTCAATTACTCTCATTTTTTGGAATTTTCGAGTGCCATTTGCGGCAAAACAGAGAGCTTGTTGAGATCTACGCGTTATTAGGAGCAAATCACATTTTTAGCTAACCTAGGATTTTAAAAAATCTAGGGATTTTTAGGTGTTTTTCTCTCATTTGAGGTAGGGGTCTCTAATCCATACATTCTTGCACCTTTTGTGAATTTTTCTTTATTAATTGTTGTCAAGCATACTTAATTTGTGTTAATGTCCTTTAAAAATGATTTAATTGTTGTATATGAAGCTTATGATTATGTGTGCTAGTTGATTTGTATGAAAAACATGCTTAAGTGGTGATATGCCATGTCTACTATGTTTAACTCGCTAGAATTAGCTCTATGGAAGTATGTTGTTTTGTGAATTATAAAATTTCTACTATCATAGCATTGGAAAGCATGAGACATTCGTGCATGTCATTGGGCATGGAATGGGAAAGAATTGATTTGAAAAGGAAAAAGGGGAATTTTGGGATAAAGCTTTGATAAAAAAGGTTTGCGAAAACCCGGTCGCCTAGGGGTCACCTGGGGCCGTGGCGTTAATGTGACCTAGAGGGAATTAGGAAAATCACCCTAGCATGGTTGAGTTATTTGGGCCCCAAATGACGCCACGGGGGTACCATGGGCCAGGGACAGTAGCCAATCTTTCTCTCGTGTCGCCATGGGGTCACTGTGGGACATGTTGTGTTAACGGTTTGAAAAGTGATGAATGGAATGGATTTTGAAAATGGGGAGCGACATATCATGGCATTGCATTTCATGGTATGACATTGTTCATTTTTGGCCTTGAAATTGTTATATTTTTTCCCGGCATAACATGATCCCTTTTCCCTTATTCCTATTCATTATTTGGATTCACAGGGTCACAAGAGATGTGTTTTAGGCACCACCTACTGAGCAATTTGATTACCCCTTTATATTAACATTTTTCAAGTCATGGAAAGGAAGTGGCGGATGACAATCCACCACTAGCATGAAGGGATAAGAAGGGTGTTTTGTAACCTTTTGTATTTAGAGCCCATTCTTTTGTAAAGTGTCATTTTGCAATGTATTTAAGCTGTATAGCATGGTCTTGTAATGTAACTATGAGCCTTGATACTATTTTAATGTAATTGGGCTAAATGTATAGACTATGTTGTATTTCTTACTTGAATGGGATGAAAGAAGTTGATTTGTATCCAAATGTTGATGTTTATAACCATGGCATGTAGCTTTGTCAATTTTAGTGTCGTCTTAGATTAAGTATAGAACAGATTGTAAAGTTTCTACATTGGCTTTTTTTTATCTCCACACTTGTTGCATTCCAGTTACAGGTTTTTTCAGCTCAAAGAATCATTTTGGCCGACTGGTTACTGTTCATTTTCAATTCTAGTAGCCTCGCATCATTTTTGGTCACAACCGGTTGACCGGTTGGCCATTTTGGTCGACCGAAATAGGGAGGTCCACTTTGGCCGATTGAAGCTCCACTCGGTCAATTGAACTGTTGCTGTTTGGTTTTCTTTATCCCTTTCTCCGGCATAATCCACCTAGAGTCTTGGGAAGTTGCATAGAGCCTTTGTGAAGCATAATTATGACCTAAGAATGATGTTTTGACACTAGACATGACGGGATTTGACTTAGGTGACCTCGGGTTCAGGTAAGGACTCGGTTAACGGTTTGGACCCACGAGTTCGGGTCGTTACACTATCCTCACTTGATGTCATTCTAATAGGTACTTAAACCAACACGAAATCCTCCTTCCGACTTGGTAACAACTTCTGAAATTTTCAAAAAGATATTTAGCAAATCCGGCACCTCTGATAAATTATCGTGGCATAACAGTGATCTTTATTTACCACAACCTCACAAATACTGAAGCATTAACTACCACTATTATCATGGCATTATAATACGATACGTATCCAGACCTAGCGAAAAATATATCAAACTAATTGTACTATATTATTTGACTCGTAGTGATGGTTTAACTATCCCATTCTAAATAGCATACCATAATAACGCATGTCCAGGTCTAATAGATTGGTTAAAATTATGTATTTTTACCAAATTCTATGACCACCCGCTCACAATCCTAGCGTAAATAACATTATTACTCCATGTTATTAAAAATGATAGTTAGCTGATCACATAACTTGTGTTCCCAACTAAACCACATACTAAACATTCCAAATAGTTAAAAAAATAAAACACGTATGATAAACACGATCTCACAAAATACTCCTACTTAAGACATCATTCTTTCTAAGGAACATCTCCTCTGAAATTAACTTGTAAAAATTGTTTCAGACAATTTCCTTTTATAGTTTTGTAGGTAATCCTCCAATCTCAAAACTTATCCTTTAAACATAGCTTAAAAGCAACATATGTGTGCCTAAGCAAATACCAAGGACTTAACCCTCAGCCTCCTTATACGCAGAATGTAAACTGTCTAACTTGGCTTTATAAAGTGAATAGAACGTCAACATAATTTCAATGCTCTCCTGAATGTGATATAACAATCATTGTTTCGTTCTGATAAGAACTCCATCCGATCCCCAAACTCTAGAAGAGTACTTTTTATATATCTCTTTTAGAGATGATAAGAAAGTGTAACTATATTTAGATTGATTAAAGCCAATTCTACTAATATCATTCGCTATACTACTAGCAAATAAGATCATCGTCGCACGATCATTCATCTTCAAGATTTAGTACCTTCTTTCTTGGATACTCTGAAATGTTCTCCATTAAGATCCTCTTCGGGCTTCTCCTCTTCGTTTTTCTCTATTGTGAGAATAACTGAAATCGTGCAGGCCCCACTATGAGGTGACCTAAAACACACACTTAAATCCTTTCTTGGCGTATACTTTTCAAGTAACGCCAACTGAACCTAAACCTTCGATCCCTAATTCTGCCTTCTGGCAACGAAATCGATAACGTACTCCTTTACTTCTTTGTGTCTTTATCGCTTTCGCCTTAGACCCAATCCTATTCCCAATGCCAATCATTCTGTGACTACAGAATATAATTGACATCAGCTCCTCCTAACGAACCGTAAATAGAGTACAACGAATCCTGATATGGGTTTTAAGTTTTAAGAGATGCAACGCGGAAGTCACATAACGAAAGACACTCCTAAGGATTCTTAAACTTGGAGTGCTCTGATACCAACTGCTCTGATATGGGCTTATGTTTTAGGATAGATTATATATATATATATATATATATATATATATATATATATATATATATATATATATAGTTATGAGTCATGATATGAGCTTGAGTCTCAAGATCTATGGTTAGGGTGTGTATATTGCTTGGGATGTGTAGTTAGATATAGTGTAATTGTGTGCCTCGGTAGGTCTAGATGCTCGTGCTCACTATATGTGCGTTTTAGGATGGATTATATATATATATAGTTATGAGCCATGATATGAGCTTGAGTCTCAGGATCTATGGTTAGAGTGCGTATATTGCATGGCATGACTATCTGGATATAGTGGATCGTTATGTACCCTAATAGGTCTAAGTGCTCATACCCACTATATGTGCGTTTTGCATGTTACCTATTATTCAGGTTAAGGTCGCCCTATAGCCAGTAGGACACCTTTTAGTGTGTTTCTATATATATACACGGACTACTAGATATTGTTGGATTAACTAGGATGCATACGTGTATCAGATCTCTGCTTAGACTGTAGTAGGGTAGAACTTGTTTGTGGGCTTGACCCACCATTATTTTTCAAGTGTTCATCAGGAGTAGAGATTGTTCGTGCTGAGTAGGGATCAGTCTACTTTACTCTTCCAGATTATCTACATAGGAGTTCCTTTATGATTCAGTGTTTAGTTGTTGATCGTTGATTATTCAGTTTTGGTTTTTTTTCTAGGGGTCCATATAGTATGGATTCTCGAGTTGTATAAATTAGAGAATTATTTGTATCAGAAGAATTTATTAATGAAAATTTATTCTGAGGAATTATTGGATTATCATTTTAGTTTCTTTTCAGCATTTTATTTATTCTTTTTATCATATTTGTATTCTGTGTTCGATTATTACCAATTTGTTTTTGATATCCTCGGGTATTCGGGCGTGGGCCTGGCCAACCATCATTCGAAAATTTGGGGGTATCACAAGCTATTACGCTGTACTCTGTCTGCTGGTTCTACTTCTACCGATCCTCCGCCATCCTATACAAATTAGTTATCTAGGGCTTCTTTGTATTTTCTTTTGCTAGATAGGCATATTTTGTTGACTAGGGCAGTATTTTTTATGTATTTCATTCTATGTGTTGTATTTCGGCCCTAAGTCTGTTATTCAAAACATTGTACTGATCATGATTATTTATATACATGCTTTTCGCCTATTATACCCTTGTGTTAATATTTGTTGCCATATTTGAGCTATATATTGATATATTTCTGTTATTACTCCATATACTTAATACTCTAGTGCGTGTTGGAGTTTGATGATTTTGCTAGGTATTAAGGACTAAGTTTGGGGGTGACTTCCTTATTTTGCCCTTCTGTGCTTTATATTGGTATATTTTTGCTGGTCTAGTGTAGTATGGTAATATCTTTCTGACTCTCCTTTATTTTTACACATTGAGGACAATGTGCACACTAAATTTGGGGGTAAGGGAATTCAAATTTTTGATGAGGATATATTGAACACAATGGTCATGAATCGTAGATGTTGAAAGCATAATTTGAGTTTGTTGATTTTCATGATTTCTTTATACAATTTGATGTTGGTTAGAGATGGCTTGTATGCCAAAGTTATGTTGAAATATAATTTTTGAAAATTTTTGATTTTTTTTTTTAAATCAGTTGGTGTCTTGTGGTCCACTTTGTCAGGATGATTACTGTTTGATGATTTTAATCTCTAAAATACTTCACTTTGCACATATTCACACTTGGATGAATTCTGTGGGGGATGAACTGGAAGTCTTGTTTAAGTTAAACTGAGATGAGCATGTGAATTTGATGATTTTAATAACCAAGGTATAAAAAAAAATAGAAAGAAAGAAAAAATTGGTATGTATGTAATAAATAAATTCTTCACTAATGTGAAAGAAATAAATAAAAAAAAAAAGTGAAGAAAAGAAGTAGAAAATGGTTAAGTTTAGGTCTGTACCTAGATTGCTTGAGCAATTAAGTTCTTAGGGGTGTATACTAACACCTAATGCCATAATACCATTTGGTTTGGGAGTCATTAGCTGAAAGCTTGTTACATAAGAGGTTTAGGTTGCATAGATTATTTAAACAATTAGATCCGGAGGGGTGTTTTATCACTTAATGTCCTAAAACCATCTGGTTTGGGAGTCATTGGCCAAAAGTTCATTACATAGGTGATTTAGAAAGCTTAATAGACCTGAGCATTGCACAGTATCCTTTTTGAAAAATGCATACCTATAGAAAATTAAAAAAAATATATACCTTGGGAATTAGAATTTGAAAAATTTGCCTGTAAATTGAGGGATAACATGGAATGAATACAAGTATGGATAGTAAACCACATGTTTGAAATTGTGAGCTCACTTCAAACGGGTTTTGGAGATTGAAATTGTTGAATAAATAATTAAACTGACATATGGGGACCATGGCTGTTGAATTGAAATTGAAAGTTTGAAAGTTTTTTTGATTGATATAATTGGCTGTACTTGCTGTGTTTGATTGATTGATGAACTGCTAGGATATTGTGATTTGAAAATAGACTTAAAGGAGCTTATTGTGCAATTAAGGCACTATCTGAGATGTTTGTGGGTACCATCACTGGAAACCCTCACGAAATTGCAATTCGTGCACTAGGGGTAACCTAGGGGTTTAAAGACTTGTTGCATAAGTTAAATGCAACCGTGATTCCCACAAAAGCAGTTTTTTAGTTCTGTATTGCTAAGGAACTAGCAATATGTAAGTTTGGGGTATGATAAGTGCTGAATATTGCATATTCGAGCCCCTAAATATACGTATGTTAAGACCTAAAGTGATACTTTTATCCATTGTTAGGTTGATTTATGTTTATTGTGTGTTTATAGGTACTTTCCCAAAGAAATGATTAAAATCGAGACTTTATGATGAAAAGACTGATATCGAAGCTTATCGTTGCCGATTATTCAAAGTAAGCCGAGAGCATAAATGGTGAAGTTTGGAGGAATTCAAGTGCCAAAGCTCGAGCCTCAGTTCTAAGGTTAGAGCTCTGCAAGAAAAGAAGAAAATTAACTAAGG